CTTTCTTTCTTTCTTTCTTTCTTTCTTTCTTTCTTTCTTTCTTTCTTTCTTTCGTTCTTTCTTTCTATCTATCTATCTATCTATCTATCTATCTATCTATCTATCTATCTATCTAATAATCCTTTCTTTCTTTCTTTCTTTCTTTCTTTCTTTCTTTCTTTCTTTCTTTCTTTCTTTCTTTCTTTCTTTCTGTCTGTCTGTCTGTCTGTCTGTCTGTCTGTCTGTCTATCATCTAAAGGAGGGGATGGGTGTGTTCCAAGTTGTGAGTCAAGTCCAAGTCAAGTCACAGTGTGACTGAAGTGCAACTTGACAGCGAGTCCCACTGGACAGCATGGTTTCCCTTTATATGCTTTGAAATCTGCTTTGACACTGAATATTTCGGGATAAGTTTAGGAGCAAAGCATCCTGCCTATTCGTTGATTGCCCCACGTTCAAGCCTGCACTTCCAAGTGTGACCCATTCCGTGCCACCAGGCCTGCAGGAGGGAAGAGCTGGCAACCCTCCAAAGCAATAAGTACACGTGGTGCAGCCACGGCGCGGAAGGCCACGAAACAGAGACCACTTACCAGACACTGCCATTGACCCAAGCACACCAAAGCTTAACCGTTCTGTCTTCTGCCTCCCTCCTCTAGGTGGCAGCACGCCTCCGGGCATCACCGCACCAGCCGTGCCTAGCATCCCGTCCCCCATTGGAGTGAACGGCTTCACTGGCCTCCCGCCCCAGGCCAACGGGCAGCCTGCCGCCGAAGCTGTCTTTGCCAACGGCATCCACCCTTACCCAGGTAGGTGGGGACAGACCTCCAGTTCCTGACCCTCTTGAGGCTAAACGACCACAAGAGCCACAACTTCCATCAAGGGCAGGCGATCTCGGTCTTGCAGAGGGCCCGTTTTCAGGCTGAGTAGCCATTCAAGCGGGCACAGCCAACGAGGTCAATTTGCCTACCACATTTCAGAAAACATCTTACACAACCATGATGTCATTCAGGCATTGCCACGTCAGAAGTTGTCCTTTCCAAAAATGTTTCAAAAGTTATTTGTAGTTTTCCCCCGCCCCAAGTGAAATATTTCCCCTTGGCAAGTGAAATATAAGTGAGCTAATTAACATGAGAGTGCCCGTGTGAGGTAGAGGAGAGACTGTCAGACTAGGATGCGGAAGACATGGGTTCCAATCTCCGGAAACTCACGAGAGGGTGGCAATGGTAGAGACACTCCATGAGCATTTCACGGACCATCCATAGGAAGAAACATAATGGCACAGAAGAAAAATGCAAATTTCTGTCCTGTTACAGAGATTTTTTAAAAGGCAGATTTAGATTAGGCATCCTTCAGTCTTGAGAGGCAATGGGAATGTGCTCTGAATGGAGGTCTTGGAACAGCGTCTAGTGTGGCTGAGAAGGCCAATTCGAGAGTGACCATCCCTTCCACATGGAAGACAAATCCAATCTGTCCCCTGTCCAGCTCCCTGGTTTGGCTGGTTTCTGGACTGCCTCTTTGCCTCGGCCTGCTGGACAAGGGTCTCTTCAAATTGGGAGAGGCCATGATGCACCGCCTGCCTCCAGGCTGAACGCTAAGACGTCAAGGTTTCCCATCAGTTGACGTCCATTCCTAAAGCCTTCAGATCCCGCTGGCAGATCTCCTTGGATCGCAGCTGTGGTCTCCCTCTGGGGCGCTTTCCCTGCACTCATTCCCCATACAAGAGATCTTTCAGAATCCGACCATCAGCCATTCTCACAACATGCCCGAGCCAACGTAGATGTCGCTGTTTCAGTAATGTATACATGCTAAAAATTCCAGCTCATTCTAGGACTACTCTATTTGGAACTTTGTCCTGCCAGGTGATCCCAAAAATGCATTGGAGACAATGCATATGGAATATATTCATCTTCCTCACCTGCAATGCACAAAGGGTCCAGGACTCACCGCAGTACAGGGTGTTGTTACAAAGAACAAGTCTGAAAATTGCTTTGTAAGGTTCAAATTTCTGGAAAGCGCAGAACGTAAGGCCTGCAATGCACAAAGGGTCCAGGACTCACCGCAGTACAGGGTGTTGTTACAAAGAACAAGTCTGAAAATTGCTTTGTAAGGTTCAAATTTCTGGAAAGCGCAGAACGTAAGACCCTCTAGAAGAAGAGCTAGAACTTGAATTAGAATGGGAATGTACAACTTCACCAGTGTCAGAAAGTGTGGAGGTTAAGAACCAGTGCTCTAGAAGAAGAGTTAGAACTTGAATTAGACTGTGAATGAGCAACTTCACCAGTGTCAGAAAGTGTGTGGTCTGAGTTGGAGGCCTGTTCATCCTGACAGAGAACATCCCCACAACTCCCTTGAACCATGAGATGGGAAGCTGAAATTTCAAATGGGGAGTGCTTTTGTTGTGGTTGTCAGTTTTAGTCCCAACAAATTCTTGTTTCTCTCTGGAAAATGGTGCAAGGTACAGGTTAGGGGTGCCTGTGTCCTCGATCAAAACAAGCCTAAAGTCTCTCACGAGGCAAAAAGATGTTGAAACTGAGACTGTCTTACTTTGGCCACCTCATGAAAAGGCAGGATTCTCTGGAAAAGACCATGATGCTGGGAAAGGTGGAAGGCAGCAGGAGAAGAGGGAGACCCCAATGCAAGATATACTGACTCCCTAAGGGAAGCCGCAGGCCTGAGTTTACAGGAGCTCTGCAGGGCAGATGAGGACAGGGTATTTTGGAAATCTCTCATTCATCAGAGCCACCAGAGGTCAGAGGTGACTTGATGGCATATAAACAACAACAAGTTATGGAGAACATTCTGACATCTTACAAATGATCTACTTAACATTCTGCTGTAGATGGCTTTCGATGAAATGAGAATAGCACAGGCATATAAATTCCATCTATATATATATGTACTCTCCCAGGGAGACCCAGTGTGGTGTGGAATAAAACTTGAAGTTCAGATCTTCATCGTAGAAACTCAGTGGGAAACTATTCCTTGAATATCTCCATTACTTAGAAAATCCTGTGTTGTGTGGCGGATAGTGTGGTCTGGAGTGAAAAGACTAAGGCTCAGGGGATATGGGTTCAAATATCTTCTCAGAAGCAATGGCAAGCTACCCCTTGAATATCTCCCATACTTGAAAAGCCTTCTGACATGTCTACAAATTAGAAGCAGGTGAATGGCACAGAAAACCAGCCACAATGAACGTGATGGAAGATGATCAGAGGACCGGAAACCAAGCCCTTCGAGGAGGAAAGACTGGAAGAATTGGGCATGTTTAGCCTGGAGAAAAGAAGATCGGAGAGCCCTTTTTTCAAAGACTCAACAGAGAGGACCGGAAACCAAGCCCTTCGAGGAGGAAAGACTGGAAGAACTGGGCATGTTTAGCCTGGAGAAAAGAAGATTGGAGAGCCCTTTTTTCAAAGACTCAACATGTAGTCTGGCAGAGGAGGGGCAGGATCTGTTCTCAGACATCCCAGCGTGCAGGACACACACAACGATGGGCTCAAGTGAGACAGGAAGCCGGATTTCAGTTGAATACCAGGAAAAACTTCCTCACTGTTAGAATAGTATGACAATGGAATCAATTAACCCAGGAGGTGGTTAGCACTCCAGCTCAAGAGGCATTCAAGGTAGATTGAATCCCTGTGAGAGTGTCTCGCCCTAAGGTCATCTTCCTGTGCCACTTATTCTTCCCAGGCTTCATAGTTATGGGTGGTCACCCCAAGGGAGACCTGGAAAACTAGCGCCAGGAACCAGGTTTTCTCAGGTGGCTGCAACATTATGAAATGCATTGCCAGTGTACGTAGGCTAGACTCTTTTGTACCCCACCTATCTGGACCAATGGACTACATTATGAAATGTATTGCCAGTATACATAGGCTAGACTCCCTCCCTCTCGACCTTCAGGAAACATGTGAAATCTATGCTTTTGATGGAGGCTTTTGAGAACAGCCTCCCCTATGACATTCTTGCTGATCCAAGGGTCTGAATATCCGTTTGGTTTGCCGTTGTCTCTGAGTTTTGTTATTGTTGGTAGTGGTTTTGATTACCCACGTGTTTTGTGTTTGGTTGGATGGGTACGTGGTTTCAGTTGTTAGATTAGCCACCCAGAGAAGCAGCTCGCCATGAGAGGAGCAAGATATAAATGTAATTAATAAACAAAAGGAATAAAGAAACTGCCTTGAGCCGTGGGTTGAACTCAATGGACGTCTAGGCCCCTTCCAACTGTACGATTCAGTGCTTCTATGAGCAGCTGGATCCAGCTTTGTGGGATCCTATAAGAAGGCCTTGGCACACCCGCCATGTTCTTTTCTCCCCAATCTGCCATCAAAACTTCTGAAACCCACAAATAACCAAGACGAGGCCCCCTGGCGAATTTTCCAAAAGAAGAATGCTTTGCTTTTCCAAACCTACAAGCTCTCAACTCACCAAAATAGAGGAAAAGGTGACCAGCAAATATGGCATTTGGGCCCCGCTCCTCAAATCCTCATCCTTGCAAAGCCGAACGAGGGAGACCTTTAAAAGCCAAAGGCTGGACGCCATTTCCTGCTGGCTCAGCACATTCTTTCAGTTATTGCCGTTATTGTTGTGTCTGAATGCCTAATTAATTACAACAGTAAACACGCACTTCTTTAATCACTGCATCAGCTGTCCTAATCAATCTTCATAATACGGAATCTGTAGTATGGCACCCATGAATTTTAATCTACATAAATTTCATAGGACCTCTTGCAGGCTCGTTGTACCAAATGATATAATTATGGATATAGATTAAGCTTGGGGAGAGTGATTTAAATTGGATTTAAGCAGAAGGTGAAGCTTTCCCTCCCACTCGCTTATTTATTTATTTATTTTGATCCTGACCTTGCAGAGGCAGATTTTACTGTGTTGCTACCTCTCCTCCTTGATGCTCTTGAGCCAGGACAGCTGGATAAGGACAGTACAGGATCTAGAAGGCCTACATCTCTAAAGGAGAGAAGCTATGTTGATCATGGCTTTGAGCCTTTGTTGCCTGTTGGAATGTTATTGGTAAATACAGAAGAATTTATGTGGCAATCTTTCCCAGTGCTCTTTAGATGCTGACCGTGCCACCTGTCCTCCACAACCAAGCAGGGCTGGGTAAGGATGATGTTGGGCCAGCCTCATTAGAGAGAAGACGTATCACCCCAACAACATAGCACAGCAACATCCAACATCTAACCGTGTGTTGTCTGATAGTAGACGGTACAGAGGAGATGAGCAGGTTCCCTATGAAAAGAAAGGCAGCATATAAATATGAATGAATGAATGAATGAATGAATGAATGAATGAATGAATGAATGAATGAATGAATGAATGAATGAATGAATGAATGAATGAATGAATGAGAAAGCAGGCCTGTGAAGTCAGGAGCTAAACAGGGACAATGTCAGCATTGCCTCTATCTGGTCTGTGACACTTTAAAAGACTGGATGGATGGAGCAATACCCAATTCCTCCCTGTGCCTCCCAGAAAAACCAGCCTATGTAGCCTTGGACAAGCTGCACAGTCCCAGGACATCCCTAGAAGAAGAGAATGGTAAACCAGCTCTGAGTACCTGCAAGGGTCGCCATAAGTCAGAACTGACTTGGTTATTATTCTTACAGAAACAGACTGAAAACCTCACAATATCCATCCGGTGAGCAAATGTATTATTCAGCTCAGTCGAAGATGTTATTGCGCAGAAGAACTAAAGACACAGTTAAGGAACGGTCTAAGCTTGCAGCTTGTGCATTGTTGCTCACATCACAACCAGCAGGTCTAAAGCACAAAGGTTTGTTTAGACAGAGGGTGCCTATGTGGTCAAGAACCCAGACGTTCTAGAATTCCTTCCGTCATGGATCCCTCGCACTGGGTTTTGGTTTGCACTTTACAGGAGCTTTCAAAGTTGCTGCTGAACTTTATCCCCAAAACCATTTCATCACCATCCCCTTGAATAAGTCCTGTATAAAAACCAGAGTGGATTCATAGCAACCTCTGAAGCTGGAGCCACTAACCATCACTGCCCACTAGACAAAGGAAAACTTTTCTCTTCAAAACTGTTGGCGGTTGCTGGATGTAACCAACGATGGGAAAGTACTCTTCTTTCCTTGTCTTGTTCTACATCAGTAACATGTGGGAGCCTCGTGGCACATTGGTTAAACAGCAGTCCTGCAGTCAAGGCTCTGCTCGTGACCTGCGTTCAAACCCAATGGGTTCAGGTACCTGGGTCAATGCTAACTAAGCCTTCCATCGTTCCAAGGTTGATGCCCAGCCCACTGCGGGGGCGAAGTGTTGCTTGCATGTTGCGTTCAAACCCAATGGGTTCAGGTACCTAGGTCAATGCTAACTACTGTAAGCCGGGGGCGAAGTGTTGCTTGCATAACTATGTTGCAAACCATCCAGAGACTGTTCTCCCACTATGGAGTGATATATAGTTGGAACAACAACAATAATAGTAATAATGACCCTTGAACGAAGCTAGAAGCACCCTACAAATCCTGTAACTTAGATATGCATGAGATTTTTCTATTTGTCATAGTTTTAAAACAATTCGCCAGAATTTGCACCTTTTTTCACACTTTAGTGGAAACAAATGGAGATTTCAGCATATAAATATGATCAACCATCATGTCAATCCACAGAGATCCAGAGGTTTAGCTCTTAAAAGCCTGGGTTTGAATCCTTGCGTTTCCAGCCACCTTTGTAGTGCTGAATTACAGTCGTCCGCTCTTCCCACCTGTAATCCCTGTTTGGTGGGCAGGTCCAACGTAGCCCGCTGCATGCAGAAAAGAACAACGCGTGTGCAACTTGCTTCTGGCATTTGGACTGAATTTCACACCAGTTCCTTGCCGGCGCACTTACCAACCTTTGCAAAATGCATCTGTATCAAGGACACGGAGAACAGGACGTTTTGAAAACTGAAGGGAAAAGGAAACCAGAGGCAAAGGCTTGTCTCTTCTCCAAGGTGGAATCCTGCTATAATTTGGAGATGCATCAACCCAACAACCCAACACAGGAACATTGAATCGCCTGGTGTTTGATAGCAGATGCCACGGAGAAGAGGTGAGCGGGCAAAGCAAGAGACGCCGTTCTTCTGTTTTCCGCAGTGGCTTCATGCCTCTTACAACATTTTCTTCTCTAAAGCAGTCTGTTTTGACCATTGATCAGTGCGAACTGCCGAGTGCTCATGGCATTTCTAATGGGAAATGGCTCGGCAGGAGAGCATCATCCAAGCAATCTCCCCACCTGTCCCTTTAAGTCACACGCGTCTCTCTTGATGGTAGGTGATAACTCTATCAGCGCTGTAGGTTTGCTGAGGTTCATTTCCGCACAAACTCCTCCTTGTCATGCTGACTTTGGGAGGTTTTCTTGGCACCAGATAGAGATGAGGGAGAAAGTGACATTAATAGATCGACTTTCTTTATAAGACTTGGGAGTCGTTTCTTGACTCCTGCCTAATAAATACACGCTGCCTTCCTGAAATTTAAATTTATGGTTGTAGAGCGGGTCATTGGCTTGTTTTATGTCTCTGGTTTTATGGAAGGTCACCTGCCGTGGAGAATATGGCGAAAGAGGATGGTTTCCCATGGGCAAAGATGTCAAACACGGGTTCATTTCATCCCCTTATCTATTCCATCTGTACGCAAAACATATCGTAGGGAAAGCCAGACTAGATTCGTATGAAGGAGAAATGAAAATTGGCGGAAGAAACATCAGCAATTTAAGATGTGCAGATGGGACCACTTTACTGGCAGAAAGCAGCAAGGAGTTGAAGTGACTTTTAGGGAAAGTGAAAAAAGAAAGTGCCGAAGCAGGACTGCAGTTGAACATGAAGGAGACCAACATCGAGACTATAGAAGAAGTGGGGATCTCAGCATGCCAAGACTCAGAGAATTTCCAGGACTGAGAAGGTTTTTGGATACATTTCTCCCTCAATAATGTTGGGGTCAACAGTGCCATATAGTTCAAGATCCATGTATAACTTCTATGCCCCCCCCAAAACATAACTACAAAGCATAAACAGCCACCCTGTGGAGCTACCGTGTGTGGAATGGGGGGGCGCTAGCCAAAATCCATGTATAACCTAAACCGTGCTGCTCAAACCTGTGCCATTTCATGGGAGAAGTGCAGTTGTCACATTCTTGTTAAAGATGCTTTGCCACCAACAAGCTTCAGAGCATCTTTTTGCGGGAATGATTCCTAAAAGCATTTCATCACAGAGGGGGCATCATTGCCCTGAATTGGTCCGGGAAGAATGGGAGATACCTGACAATAATAACACAAGCGAGAAGGATCTTGGAGCTGTTGTAGATCACAAGCTGAAGATGAGCCAACAGTGCAATGTGGCAGCAAAAAAGGCAAATGCTATTTTAGGATACGTTAAGAGAGCTATAGTCTCCAAATTCTGTGAGGTCCTAGTCCCCCTCTATTCTGGACTGGTTAGGCCTCAACTAGATGACTGTGTTTTGGACACCGCACTTTCAGAAGCATGCCAACAAACTGGAGCGACTTCAGAGGAGGGCAGTCAGAATGATCAGAGGAGTGGAAAGCAAGCCTTAGGAGGAAAGACGGACAGAACTGGGCCTGTTTAGCCTTGAGAAAAGAAGACGGAGGGGAGACAGGAGAGCACTCTTCAAAGACTTGAAAGGCTGTCCTACAGAGGAGGAGCAGGGTCACAACCATCCCAGAATGTGGGGCACATAACAATGGACTCAAGCTACAGGAAACCAGATGAAGGCTGAATATCAGGAAAAACCTCTTAACTGTTAGAGCAGTACAACAATGGAACCAATGTCCTCGGGAGGTGGTGAGAGCTCCGACACTGAGAAAATTGGACAACTGCCTGTCAGATTTGCATTGGTTTGGATTCCTGCATTGAGCAGGTGATTGGACTCCATAGCCTTATAGGTACCTTCTGACTCCATTCCTCTATGATTTTATGAATACATAATACATCATAAACCAAGAATCTGTATCTATGTGCAAAATTGATCCAGATGGGAAACGCCATTTTCATTGGCACCGAATTTTTGGTGGGTGGACAATATACAATTGCCTCTCTATATTTGACAAAGCCTGTGTTTCTCGTGGCATCAGAGCGATTCTGGGCACCAAGGTCAGCCTGATTCTCTTTCCACGACACACCAAGGGCCTTTGCTAGGGCATGCCAAGGAAACCCGGGCTTTATTTTTTTGATGCTCACTTCCACCAAGTCCAGGACCTTGCCTCCTGGTGATCTTCCACCCTGAAAGACAGGGAAATTTCCATGACATGGAGAAAGGCGGAGAGGAAGCTGATGCCTGCAACTCTCTAAGGAACCATCTATTAAAACCACAAAGCCACAGGGACTGCATAAATGTAAAATGGTGCAGACCAATAAATACAAATTAAGCCTCTAATAAGAAGCGGAATATTAGGGCCAAGGTGACATTAAGGGTGGGGGTGGGGAGACAGAGGTTCAGCCAAGCTTTGCTTTAAATATTGTATTGCATCAGATAAAGAAAGAGTTCATTCAACTAAAATGTTTTTTAAAGTTCTACCTGTCCTGCTTTGGGGAGGGAGGGAGGGAGGGAAGAGGAGATCCCAAATGTTAACAGATTTGGCAATGCTTTCTGTTCCGATTTTGCGATAGAGCGCTGCAGCGTTTCTGTTCCCATGGATGTCGGTGGGCTGCTTTGGGTTCTGTTCACAACAGTCCTTCCTAAAGCAAGCAAAGTTGAGCTTGATTCCAGTTAGGCCTAGATTAGTTCATTTCAAACTCATTCTGAGCTCCACATCATCTTGTGAAAACAGCCAAAGCCCAGATCCCTAACTCCTTCTCTGGAAAAAAATAATAATATTTTGGGACTATAAATTCCAGAATCTCCCAGACATCATGGTAGTTATGAGGGATACCGTACAGGGCTTCATAGTGTAAACAATGCTTGCCATCTCCTGCCTAGGGAGTGGTTTTTCCTTCCTTGCCTTTGGGGATTTAAAAATCAGCTTTCAAATACTGCTTCAGTAAGCATCACAAAGGCTAAGGTCCTTAGGAAATGCCATTCCCCTTTGGCTCCCAGGGATCCTTAGCAAAACAAACAAATTCAAAAAGCTTGGAAGCCTTAAACTTACAATTATTTACCAGAAGCATAGGAGTAAAAAATGCTTCGAGTTGTGTTCTTGTTGTTTTAAATGTGTTTTAGTATTGATTTTATTGACTGTTTTGATATAATACTTCTTTAATTCTTTTTTTAATTATATACTTATTTTTCTTAGCTTTTAAATATATGCAAGCCACCTTGGGTCCTTTTTAAGGAGAAAGGTGGGGTAAAAGCATTTTAAATGAACGAACGAACGAACGAACGAACGAACGAACGAACGAACGAATGAATGAATGAATGAATGAACGAATGAATGAATGAATGAATGAATGAATGAATGAATGAATGAATGAATGAATGAATGACCTGGGGAGTAGAACGGCTTATTCAAAAATATACTACCAGTCATTTGGTACACTTGTATTTCCACCTGCTCTTGGCTTACTAGGCTTGGCAAGGCCAGCTCCAGGTTTTACATACTGTAGGTGGGGTCTGGATTGTCTTGTAATGTGTGTTTTGCACTCCTAGTAGACCCCAGGTTGTTCATGTGCCTTTAATACCCTTCTCTTTTGTGTCTTCACAGCACAGAGCCCCACTGCAGCTGACCCCTTGCAACAAGCCTACGCTGGAGTACAGCAGTATGCAGGTCGTTAGTATTAACACTTTCCCCCAATAAACCTTTCATTTTTGTGATGCCCATGCCTCATAACTGGCACCATATGCATGCACTTCGTATTTGGGAGTCCTAGGTTGCAGAATGTATCACACTGAATTACATCGAAGGATATTTACTTGCTTTTTAAAAACTTTTCTTACATTTGTTCCAAGCCTGCCCTGTGTGGATACTGAAAACCAGGGATAATAACAAACTCTATATATAGAATGGGAAAAGAAAGAAAAATCCACAAAAAAAGTATTTTCACCATGTATTAACAGAACTGGTCACTACAGGGAGCCAGAGACAATACTATGCATTCCAATAACAAGACTACATAGCATTGTCTCTGGCTCCCTCTAGTGTCCAGGTCTGACAAATAAATTGTGAAAATATAGATTTCCAGTTTTTTTTCTTTTTCTTTATATATATATTTTTTCAAACTGTGGATAAAGGAAACTGCAGATAGTGATCCCATTGATAAAGGTCTCCTAGTGTATTCATTCCCTTAAAAGTTCCTTCTGAGCAAAACTAACAACAATATAGCTAACTTGGGAAAAGGCCAGTCCTTTTCACATAGTAAGAGATAATACCACCAATCTGAGTTAAAATCAGATTTTAAAAATCTGACTCATTTCAAAATGAATGCTCATTGTGGGTCCATTTAGCGAACAAATGGATCAGAGAAACTTGGGGCCTGGCTAGTTTTTGGACGGCCGAGAAAACCAGGGAACACCAGATCCTAGGAGGGGACATAACTCAGTGGAAGAGTGTATGCAGCGAATACTAGTTCAGTTCCTAGCATTTCTAGTAGGGGAAAAAACTGAAGGACAGGAGAGATGCAATGAGTCAGAGGTGGTAGTACTGACTGAGCTAGATAAGCTAGCAGTCTGACTCACTGCCTTGAAATACAGTACTAAGTAGCCATTTAATAAGGATTTGCTGAGTCAGCTCCTCTGTGAATTTCATTGATTCAATGGATTCACTCTCGTTGTGAGTCGCTACTGGATTTCAGCCACTCTAAGGCATCCTAAAGGTTGCTGAAATGACTACAATAATACAATATAATACAAGATAATGCAATACAGGATGGCAGATTTTTGCTGAATATCAGAAAAAAACTTCTTAGCTGTTAGAGCAGTATGATAGTGGAACCAGTGACCATAGGAGATGGTGATCACTCCGATGCTGGAGGCATTCAAGAGAAAATTGGACAGCCCTCTGTCAAATATATACATTGATTTGGATTCCTGTATTGAGTAGGGGGTTGGAACCGATGGCCTTATAGGCTCCTTCCAACTCAACTATTCTATGATTCTATACATACAAGAATCCATTCACCAAATACCTTTCACCAGGAATTTGCTCCGCTTTGAATCCAGTCAGAGGAAGCTTTTCCTGGGGGAAAAAATTGCAAAAACATCGCTTGGAGAAACAAAACACCACTTACTTTACAAGACCATGATACAGATTTTCATTGAAAACATACTAGGTTTCTCAAGGCCTGCTTTGCATGAAACAAACTTTCCACAGTGCAACTTAGTGAGTTTAATAATCAAGACCATATGGTGCAACAATAACATATTTACACACTGAGTATAAAAATAAAAGCACTTCACCTGATCAGCTATTTATCTTTCAAACAATCCCCCACATGCTTTGAGACTTTTTAAATTTATATATCTGGAAAAGCAAAGGAATTAAACATTCCTTTCTACAGATTTTGGCTTGCCAATTTTGTTTTAAAAAAAAGTTGTTGGTTTAATAAGCAACATCAGGAAGAAACATATTCAGAGCCGATTATAAATAGGACAGGTTTGAAGTCAGATTTTTGTTGAATATCAGGACAAACCTCCTAACTGTTAGAGCAGTACGACAATGGAACCAATGAGCTCAGGAATGGATGAGTGCTCCAACACCGGAGGCGTTCAAGAGAAACTTAAGTAATCACCTGGCAGATATGCTTTGATAACAATTCTTGCATTGATCAGGGGGTTGGACTTGATGGCCTTTAGAGGCCCATTCCAGCTTCACTGTTCTATTATTCTATGAAGTGAGAAAAAGTCATGGTAACACCCTTCCTACATATACAAAACTTGAAACAAAACCTCCCTAAAGGGATTGTATCCTAACTTGTCCGTGGTGTAAATTCTTACCGAAACATGCTGGGCTTTTCTGAAATCATTCATGAGAAGCACTGGAAAGCTTTCACAGCTACGATCAATTTCAAACAGTGAATTTAGTTGAAAAATCACACTGGCTTAACGCTATCAGTGTAAAGTTCAGAAGTCCGTGTATGCATTTGCAACTAAGGTTTACACCAATGGAATTACATTGGTGGGCTATAATTAATAGGATCCCTGCCCGTATGAGTCTGAGGAATGTCTGTCTTTCTTTCTCATGAGCAGAAAACCCTTGTGCGCATAACGCTTGAATCTAGTCCAGCTGGGATTCTCAGTTAGAAATTTGCCCCCTAAAAGTAAAAAGTTCTGAGAAACTTTTCCTGGTTCCGATCATACATTTGCTCACATCTCTTTGCCTACAACTCTGCAGTGCTGAACAGTATTTAGCCACTGCACCGGAGGAGGTCACTTCAATGACTTCAGCAAAATGACTAGGAAACATGGTAGAGCCACCTAGCATATAATCAAAACTCAGGGTCAAAAAAAAAAAATGTCAGGAAACGAGGTTGCACAGCATGGATGAAGGCAATGCAGGTAGAAGCAGGTAGCAGATGAGAGTCGTAAAATATCTTTGGGACGCCCTTCTCAGGCAAGACCAGGTTAGGGTTTTTTTCTTCCTGAAATGCAAAACACAGGGAGAATTTTTTTTTTGCCCCAATTCAAAAGCCGGTGGGCATCATGTTTCAAAAGGTTGCGCTAAGATTTGGGAGATTTAGGTTTGAGCTCACCAATGAACCATGCACCTCGCCAGGACGGCCTTTCGTCAATCACAAGTTCCCAGTCTCACCCAACTCCCAGGACCCGTTTTTGTGGAGAGGAAGCAGACAGGAGGAGAGCCGTATTCTGCCTCTGCCACTAACTGTAGGAAAGGCAGAACATATTTGTAACACAGACAGGCAGATGGAACAGTCCCTGCCCGTGTGTTTTTGATAATGGAGCAGCGCCATTTAGAACAGAGTACAACAGATTGAAAATAAGCTTTTGCTGTTCCTTCATCGTTCATGGATCCAGCCTGTTTCTCTAACCAGTTGACTTCCTGTGGCATGCAGAATAATTGGTGGTTTTTTGTTGGTGGTGGGTTTTTTTTAAGTCATCATGCCTAAATCTCACTCGCCACGAGAGGCTTATTTGCTGATGTTTGAGTTCCTGCCCCTTATTGCCCATGAGGTTTGGAAGTTAGGCCATGCTCAAGACCTTCATCTCCAAGACTTAGATCTCTTAATTAACTCCTGGGCATGCCAATTGGTCCCTTACTTCCCCTTCACAAGACCGCCCCACCCCTTGCAAGGAATCGTCAATTCTGATTGAGTTCACCATGGAACAAGCCATAATGCCGCTGTCCATGGTACTGATTTCTCCAGTTGCCCCGTGGCTTGGATAAAGCAAGGCCTGGATAGAGTTCATCCATTGCCCTTTTCTTTCTTTGAGGGAAGTGTGTGGAGCTCAGTGAAAGATAGCTGATGTCCTCAGCTGTATTGTGGGCCTCTCTCATTTCCCAGCCATGCCTCAGAGCCAGATCACAGGCTCGTGAGGACAGATTATAGGTTGTACAGCAACCAGCACACAGACGGAGTTTACAAGTATGTCAACTGATGGATAGCTCAGTGCTTTAGGAGGTTGGGAGTTCGATTCCCCCCCCCTCCCTGTGCCTCCCTGACAGGAGCTGGACATGGTTTAGGAGGCTGGGAGTTCGATTCCCCCCTCCCTGACTCTGTGATCAATGGGGTCCCTTCCAGCTCTGCACTTCTAAGATGATGATGATTAGTAAATTGCTTTTCAACTTGCTTGGCCATTAGGCCAAGTCACTCCAACCCTTTGACAGTCCACCAGAGGCTTGTAGAACCTTGTGTAGGGTTTATTCTCCTCTTGCACTACCATTTAGAAAGCTTAGGTAGGTTCATAGGGAGCTCCCTCCGGGCACTAATACGATCCACATCAGCTGAGCTTCCAGCATCTTTCCTGAGCCCTCAACACGGCCTCTTATAACTGTGCAAATGAACTATAGCTTGCCCCTTCGTGATACATTTGTGGTATGATCGTCAGAGTTGCGCACGTGAACACAAAATACACCCCTCAGATCATATTTTTTGCTTTTCTTTAGCAAAACTGCGCTCACCCTCCTTTCACACACAAAACACCATACCAGGTTTTCCTCCAAGCTCCCTTTGCCAAAACAGCCCATTAAAACTAGAACGACAACAGTTTATGGGATGGAAAGCCTTTTCATTGTTTCTGCGGTTGAACACCAGGGAACCAGAAACCCTCGCCTCTCCAATCCATGACCCACCATGACCTATGAGCTATAGATCGTGCTCTACCTTCTGCCCACTCTGGGACTAAAAATAAATTATGCATGCTCATAATTTCATGACTGCCCTGCTCAAGTTGCAAAACAGATGCTTCTCAAAGGAGCCAGCTCACACCCTCAGCCTTGATGTTGAGGAGGTACACACGTAATGGAACTGCATTTAAAAAAACAACAACACCCACAACTCCTACATAATAGGATTTGGAGACAGATGATCCAAATGTCTAGAATTCATGTTCTTGTGTAGGGAACTACCCTCTTCTGAACTAACGACATTCAAATCTTTGTTGGGATCCTTATGGGGGGAAAATGCCCTAGCTGGATAGCGATTCTGAAGTCTATCTCTTTTTTTTCTCCCTTTCTTTCCCCATAGCTGCTTACCCTGCTGCATATGGCCAGATAAGCCAAGCCTTCCCACAGCCGCCTCCCATGATCCCACAGCAACAGAGAGAAGGTAAGTCATTGCGAGGTTTCACTTCACTCCAGGATGATCTTACCTTGGATCTAGAAACATCGGATTGCCACACTCCAATCCTGGTCTACCACACCTTTGTGCCGTGCCATTAGAAAGGGGCATGAACCCAACGACGAACTGAAAAAACAACAACACACAAACCGAACTGCTTCATGGCTTATTTCTTAGCTTGTTTTAGGGATCCTGTTTTGATGAAATGAAATGAAGTGCTAAACTTTTTTTCCACTTGGCCCTTCGTGGTTGACTAAACCAGTGGTTCTTAACCTTTGTTACTCGGGTGTTTTTGAACTGCAACTCCCAGAAACCCCAGCCAGCGCAGTTGGTGGTGAAGATTTCTGGGAGTTGCAGTCCAAAACTCCTGAGTAACCCAAGGTTAAGAACCAGTGGACTAAACCAATGCCACACCCCCTTCACACTACCCCCATTGCCTTCCTCCCTGGTCCTGACACCACTTTCTCTTTAGAGACAGAAAGCCTGGCTAGGAAGGGAGGCAATGGGGACAGTGGGAAGGAGGCGGGTGGGAGGGCAGAGAGGGTGGGAGAGTTAGGTTCCCCTCCCCAGACACAAACCAGAGGAAAAAATGAACCATGAACCAGTTTGTTGGTTGCTGTGGGTTTTTTGGGCTCTTTGGCTGTGTTCTGAAGTTGTTCTTCTTAACGCTTCACTAGTCTCTGTGGCCGGCCTCTTCAGAGAACAGGAGTCAGAACCCTGTCTGCGCTCTGTTGCAGTTTGTTGGATAGTTGAGTATTTATAGCTGTGGGAACCACTTTTGTCCTTTTCAGGAGATTGGGTGATTATGGTGATCAGCGTGTTTTGTCGTGAAGCGGCTTGTTTTTCCCAATCTCTACAGATAGCCATGAAACACCCCAATCTGTCATTTTTCTGGGTTGTGCCCACCTCTACAGGCTATGCATGCAGACTGTAAAACATGAGCATCTGTATAGGGCTGACCCAGGATATATTGCTGTCTGAGGCGTAAGACAAAACAGGGCAGCCCACTCATTCTACATACAGAAGTTCTCTGAACCAAGGGTTGACTCTTTCTGGCAATGATTGTGAGGAATTTTCCCGAACTCTTAGCAGAGATTCTAGATGAGCAAGAATCATGTTTCATACTGCACCTGCTAATTTTTTATATAGGAATCTCCCATTTTGGGGCAAAATTGCCAATTGTTCCTGTTTTTGCTCAGAATTCTGCAACCCATTACCCAAGAACAAGGGGGAACATCTGCTTTGTTCAGGAATTTGGGGCACCAGATGGGTGGTTCACCTCTTTCTTGGCCATTGGCCAATCCTTCTCTGCTTGCTGGGTACACCTTGGCGCTTTGCTGTCCTCCACCAAAAGAAACTCATAGGATTTTGTGCCAATCCCAAAGACTTTGAAGAGGCGATAGTCTTGTTTTCCACTGGACAGGGAAAAATCTCTTGGGGCTTTCACGATCCTCATTGAGGGGGTTTGGTGTCCAATTAACCTAAACAGACAAGATTAAGGGATTAAGAGGAGTTCTTTATATTCCTGGACTCTGTTGCCTTCCTGCATCTTCTGCTAGAGAGAGAGACTTCACTTTCCTTCCTGGCAGGGCTGGCCCTGCACCCATACGAACAAGCACAGACATTTTCATAGATATCCTCAAATCATAGCAAAAGAAGCCACCGGGAAAGCAAGAGCGAAAGGGGGTGCGAAAATCTGTGGAAGGGAAAGAGCAAAGGGCTGTTGAGTTTCTGCAAGAAATGTCTTGAGAGTGATCTGACCTACAGGTCACCTATTGACCATGGGAGGAATTGTTTAGTCGTTTAGTCGTGTCCAACTCTTCGTGACCCCATGGACCAGGGCACGCCAGGCCCTCCTATCCGTTCTGAAGGAAATCAACCCTGAGTGCTCACTGGAAGGACAGATCCTGAAGCTGAGGCTCCAATCCTTTGGCCATCTCATGAGAAGAGAAGACTCCCTGGAAAAGACCCTGATGTTGGGAAAGTGTGAAGGCAAGAGGAGAAGGGGACGACAGAGGACAAGATGGATGGACAGGGTCACCAAGCAACCAACATGAATTTGACCCAACTCCGGGAGGCAGTGGAAGACAGGAGGGCCTGGCGTGCTCTGGTCCATGGGGTCACGAAGAGACACAAAACAACTAAACAACAAAAAAGATATTTGAGATTTTGTGCAGGAGCCTATGAGAGAGAGCTGGCTGCCTTCTCTAACCACACCTCACAGGATTCCGTGAGATTGAGCCACGGGCCATTCCAACGGAATCAAACTGCTGCAACTGGAGAGGGGAGCGGCACTTACTCTGATGTGGGCCTGATTCGTTCATTAGCATAGGCACTGAACCCAGTCCCATTCCACCGTGTTGGAATAAACCCGGACGGCCCTCAACCCCGTGGCCTCAGGGCGATTCAAGAAACGTAAAAGTTGGGGGTCCCTTGGAGCCATGTAGGAGGGAGGTTGCTCTTCACAAAGATTTCATCGGGGCTCCATTTGCTATTAATCCAAAAAGAAGAAAATGTAGAGGGGAGAAAATGCCTTCAATCACACCAAGGCCCGGGAATTTTAATGAGCTTTAAATGGGCATCTGTCAGAATCCTGACTCGGCGAAACTACCCCTGCCAGCCGAGGCAATGAGTAATAGCCAATAAAAAAGTGGGGGGGGAACCACCTTCGTGAACTCGTCTCTCTAACAGGAAAAGCAAAGGTGTAATTTGCTGTGTTATGACACTATAATTATGCCCTGATGAAGAAAGTGAGAACATTAAAAATCCTTCTTTTCTGCTCGGTACGCCCCTCTTACCTCTATACTCTCACTCTCACTCACTCACTCTCTCTCTCTCTCTCTCTCTCTCTCACACACACACACACACACACACACACACAAAACCAAGAAGAAAGAAATGGATTTAACCCTTGCTTTGATGGGTCAATGTCTTGGCTTCTCCATAAGACACTTGGACAATAGACTGTTCATTTGTTCTGTTGGTGAAATGAAAAACGTGCATCAAATTAAAATCTCAAAATGAGTTAGGGAAAAAATGGCTTGAAGTAACCGTGTGTATTGATTAAGGCCCCTGATCTTTGTCTTTAGGAAGGCCCATGCTTTATAGACTTGTTTCAGTCAAATTTTAAGGCCTCCGGGTTGCCACTGGATTTCCGAGCCTCTCCTGTTAATAAGATTGTGTGATCCAATGGATGGAATCTTGGGCTTTGTGGTGTCAACACCCACCCACCCCCATGACCATAATAAGTCACAACTATAGTAGGTCCATTTGAATCTATGGAACTTGGGGAAGAGCTGACTCCCCCAATCCCCATTGATTCAGTGAGCCTACTCAAATACGACTTACTATGCCAAGAAACAGCCATTTAAAAAAAAAAGGAGACCAAAATTGTATTAAGAAAAAAAAGCTTATATTGCAATTTTACAGCTTTTTTTCCTGCGCCAGCCAGCTGTCCTTTGCTCAAGTCAGTCACATGACTGGTCATGTGCCTGATTTGGAAACTTCTGCATGACTGGACATAGGAAGGAGACTCTCCTTGAGGGGTGCAAATCTGACTCAACTGCTCTTGCATAATCATATAAGTGAACAAGATAATGGGAGTGAACAAGATCCAGCAGTAGATACAACAGTACTAACATTTCATTTCCACTTAAACATGACAGGGTTAATTTGTTTTCAGTATGACAATGTTCAAAAGGAGGGAAAGAAAGAGGTTTACTTCCTGTGAATGGCTCATAGTCATCATAACTATGTGGTACCGTATTTCCCCGAAAATAAGACAGGGTCTTCTACAATGCAATAAAAATTTATTGTACAGCCAAAGGCCCGATAACACAGGGTCTTATATCAATTTTTGCTCCAAAAATGCATTAGGGTTTATTTTCAGGGGGGATTTTATTTTTTTCGTGTACAACCATCTATGATGATTCAGATACAGTCCTGTCCTCTTCTTCTGGTGGCTGCACCAGGGTGGAGGGCAGGGTTTCACTTATTTTGGGGGTAGGACTTATATGATGAGCATCCTGAAAAATCATACTAGGGCTTATTTGCAGGTTAGGTCTTATTTTCAGGGAAACAGGATACTTCCAGAAGAGATGAACAAGAGCTGGGGAGGAACAGTAGAAGAGAACACTAGCACTCACCTCCTGCTTGTGGATTTCTTAGAAGGAACTGTTTGGTCACATTGCAATGTTGTCCTCAGTAGGCCTGTGTAGAATTGGCTGTTATCCTCAATGGGCCTGTGTAGGACTAGTTACTGTACTAAATAGTCCTGTGTAGGGTTGGTTGTCGTCCTCAGGAGACCTGTGTAGGATTGGTTGCTGGACTAAATAGTCTTGTGTAGGATTGGTTGTTATCCTTAGTAGACCTGTGTAGGATTGATTGCTGAACTAAATAGTCATGTGTAGGATTGGTTTTTGTCCTCAGTAGACCTGTGTAGGATTGTTTGCTGAACTAAATAGTCCTGTGTAGGATTGATTGTTGTCCTCAGTCGACCTGAGTAGGACTGGGGGTATAGACAATCTTTCCTCATCCCCCACCTTCCAGAGTTATTGCATTACAACTCAAATCAGCTCTTACTGGGCCAAACTGGCTGGGAAGGATGGGAGTTCTATTTATTTATTTATTTAAAATATTCTTATCCTGCCTTTCTCCTCAAAAAGGACCCAATATGTTTCTAGAGCGCAATTAGAGGGCAGCAGAGTTGTGATGGCCAAGAGAGGCCTTTATTTTGATCCATGTGCAGCCACCTTCATACATTCTAGACTGAAAGCCGTAAAGAGTCCAATGCAGGAAGGTCCCATGGCTACACATTTCTCTCTTGGCCTCTTCTCGGTAGAATATGAAAATGTATTCAAAAGCATGGCATGGAGACGGTTAGAAGGTACCAGTTTTCTCTGTGTGGGAAGGGGGTTTGTTTCATGGTGTGGGGATGGGGTGTCAGTGGAAGGTGGTTGGCGTGCCTTCTTCCTGCATCGATGCCTTACCGGTTTTCCCCTCGCTTTCTCTTTTTCTCTCCTCCGTCTCCTCCACAGGACCAGAGGGCTGCAACCTGTTTATCTACCATCTGCCCCAGGAGTTTGGGGACGCTGAGCTGATGCAGATGTTCCTGCCATTCGGTAATGTCATCTCCTCGAAAGTGTTTGTGGATCGGGCGACAAACCAAAGTAAATGCTTTGGTGGGTAAAGATAACAAAACAATTAGATTCATCCAGGAAAGGAAACTTTTTTCTGAACTACTTTAACCTTT